AATCCTGGGTAAGACTCAGACCACACACCTTGCCCACCAAGGCTTGGGGGGCGGAAACGGGGCCCAAGCCTCAAAATGGCATTCCACACCCCCTGCAAACACTCCCTGGCTTGAAAAGACTGAGAGCGATTTAGGGAGCAGCGTGAGCTGCCGGGGCCAGGTGTGTCGTCTGAAAGGGCTCCTGTCAGTGACGAACGGAGACTTCCTGTGTGGGGCCAGTGGGTGGCGTGGAGGTTATGGTGGGTCCCACATGGCCGACTGTGGAGTGGGGTTCAAGTCCTGGACACGGTAGCTTAGATACCACTTGATCGTGTGTGTGTGTGTGTGTGTGTATGTGTGTGTGTGTATGTGGCCAAACTCTTGAGAAGAGCGTGGAGAAGGGATTGCAGAATGGCCATCTCCCTGAGTGAGTTCTTTCTTTCTCTCTCTTTCCAGCAAGTGCACATGCCCCACAGCAAAACTGAAACAAAAATTAAGTGTTGCTGTGAGGAGGAGGCAAAGCCTGAATCTGTGCAAATTCTGCCTAACCGTCGTATTTTGTGGGAACAGGTGGAGGAGTGCTTGGCGTCCAGTTAACCCACTTGAACCATGGAAAAATTTCCACGGGAGGTGGGTGAACCAGGCCCTCGGGGGGCACTGCAGGACAGAGGGACCCGAATGCCCATTGCCTATTGCCACCATGGGTTTGTTCGCAGTCCCTCCGCTCGGCCCCCACCTCTCTCTGCTCCTTGCCCTCCTCCTGGCCACTACCTCACAGGCCACAGCGAGCATGTGGGCCTCCTGGCAGGTGCCCTCCGACCAGAGACCGTGCAGTCACGTTTCCGCCCCGTCTCAGCACAGGGCCTGGGGAAGTGGGAAACGACGCCCACCGTGAGCACCCATCTCTCGTTTCTGCTTTTTCCGACTGTCCAGTTTTCTGTGTCAGCCCGGAAGCCGCGTTGTCAAAAGTCATCTCTCCCTGGCCCCAGGAGAGGCGCGTCTGTCACTGTGCTTCCGTGTGCTTGCCAGAGCGCATGCTTTCTGCTTACTGGCGTCGGTATTTGTATGGGGTCTTACTTTCCAGATCATGAGTACCCTGACAGCAGGACCTGTCTGATGATGCATCCCTTCGTTCTTCGTAACGGACACAGCTGTGTGCCGCACAGGGGGTCGGCGTGGCAGATGCTTTTGGCGGATGCAATTCTTCTTTTTTTGGGGAGAGATTTTCACTGTAGGGTGCGTGCGCTCGCCAGGCAGACAGAGAGAGACATAGAGACAGAAAGCGAGAAATCACCCCCCAGGGGGGATGATCACGCTGCAATCCCTTCTCCTCCATTCTTCTCTCGGGATCTTGGGCACGCACGCACACGCGCCCGGCGTGAGTTTTAAGCCACCGGGTCCGGGACACGAACCGCAGTCGACTACATGGGAGTCCAGCGACATAGCCATTACGCTAACTGCTGGTTCCCACGGATGCAATTCTTTAAACCTTACAACGGCCTCCAGGGAACGAGCCAGCATTCCTATCTAGCATCATGTTGTAGGCAAAGAAGTGAGTGTAGGGCTGGCTCTGCGGCCTGGTGCTTGAGAGCGCTGGATCCATGTGGCTGACCATGGTTCAAATCCTGACCCAGGGCCTGAGAAACACCAGGCATCTGCATGTGTGTGCCCCAAATCCCAGCAAGGTGGACAAAAGGAGGAAAAGGACTGCGATGTGCCCATGCCCTGTTGGGGAGTGCTTTCTCCCTCTCCCTTTCTCTGTCCCTCTGTCTCTGGCAAGTGCATGTGCTCTCTGGCAATAAGAAAAGAAAAAGGAAAAGATTGTATGGGTCTTACAACCCGGAAGTGAGGAGCTTGGATCCATTCCCAGGCAGTGTGCGCCTGCATCTAGGCTAGGCGTTCTATAAACCCTTGTTGAACGCAGACAAGTTGCTATTTCTTAGTTCTGTAGACCCAAAGAGCAGTTCCGAGGTTGCTTTCATCTCTGACATCTGAACTGAGCCATGGGAGGGCCAGAAGGGGGCGCCAGAGGATGGTCCCGGTTCTGATTC